GCCGCAGCAAAGTGTTGTCGAAATTTCGAACCCGATTCCAAATTACATTCTCCTTTCATTGGATCTCTGTACCGAATGAACGCAGTCTAGTTTACCAATAAATGACACGAGATGTATCACCCGATCGTGAACAACATTTAAGTATTAGCTGTCCTTCAACGCCGAAGTAATTAAAACGGGTTTAGCCATGTTAACAGGGAATGAGGTGTCTTTAACAACATCGAATTGAAACGTTTTGCGTACGTACGTGATCTCTATTAAAATTAAAAATAAATAGCTCCAGTGGAAATTGTTCGTTGTAGGTGCATGCATTGTTGAAATTAATTAAAATAATCTCTCTTTGTTGGGCTTTATTTGCAGAATCGACAAAAACTGCTTTGAAGTTTAACATTTCACTTGAGTCCTTTTCGGCGTTCTCGGAATAATTCCAGCTAAAAACTAACATTTTTTCTTCTCGTAAATTTTGAAAACACTATTGATATTTTTCTTTAAAAACTTATAACTAAATTCCTCGGCAAATCGAGTGTACTGTGATAGTTTACAAATAAAATTATTAATCAGAAAATAAGCGTGTAATCTCATCTAAACCATTCTCAATCACCGGTTATCTTATCTCGTTAAAATTTGATACCCCTAATGAAATTAGAGCTTAATTCGAAATTCGTTTATTATAACGCCCGATTTTCAATTTAACACGTCCCATTCCGAGCTTTACTGGGGGTAAATCTTTTTTTTTTTTTAATTGTGTTTTGCCGAAAAATAGGTTTAATTGGCGCAGTCAGTGGGATACGCAGCATTCGGAAAGCAATTAAGTTTAGCATTGCTTGGTAAGTGATTTTCCGCCGGGCTGGATATTTCGGTGATAAGTCGTGTTGCATATTTCATTGATTTGAGGAAATTATTGGAGTGTTATGAGAATATCTTTATCTGTCTAGGAGGGTTTTTGGGAGACGTCTACACTAAAACATCTGTGGTTCGTCAATAATATTTTTATCAGTACAAATAGGAAAGGGATGAACCTAGGTAAACATCGGTGTCCAAATATCTCGTTATTCCCTTAACTAGACGCGGTCGTTCGTCTTTTTATTGCACCGGCTTACCGAGCTCAGTAGCGCCCACTCCCAGAATTTATTTAGATATTTATTTAGATTTAATACAATAATTAGAATTTACTAAACTAACAATTAATAATATTAAAGCGAAGTGCGATGCGCTAAGAATTTCCACCTGAGTATACTCAATATGTTTACCATGCATTAACCAAATTGTATGAGTGCGCCACTGCTGAAAGTGTTTATTTATTGTTAACCAATCCAAGGGATAAAAATTCGAATGTTTGTTTATGATCGGTGGGCCGTGGGTTTCTTGTGCCTCTCACATTGTTTGCATTTTATTATAGTTACACAAAATGCCCCACAGCGTGTGATATTCGATCTCGAGTTGACATCGACAGGCCACATTACAGTGGAGACAGACAGACATTCGAAAATTTTGTCGTTCAATGATACCGCAATGTTTGCTCAGAGAACCCGAGAACTTTCATCCGAAACCGCGGTAATAACGTTGTATGCGCCCCGACTTGTACTATACCCTCTAAAACTGTTTTTTTTTCTTTCGTGAAATTAAACGTGTCAAGCGTGCGTGCTCGATGTCGCTTGTTATTGGGAAATGTTGAGAATTTTCTAGTCTTGGATAGGTTGCGTTATTAAAGCCAAATTTTTCCTTTATTAACGCGCTTCGTCGATTCGAACGTTTGATAAACCAATCAAGGTTACGGTACTTTAAAACAGTCAACGGATTTTATTTATTGCCGTGATAACGTTGTAAAACATCAAATTAACCGGTAATATCTCTAAATATACGCGCGCACTCATAATAGAAGAATTCGGTAAAAATGCGGCGTTGCATCATCGTTAAGTTCGGAATTTATTATTGCGTTTATTAAATTAATGCTCATTTAATTGAACTTCAATTAGTGTAAAATATTAATTGCGGCGCACCAAAAAAATCGGCTCTTGCATTAAGATAAGTTTACTAATTCGTCGAACAAATATGACGATTAGCGATAACGCTTTTATCATTAGTTTCAATATACGTTTCGCGGTAGACGGTTCGTCATCTCCGAGATTGATTTCAAAACGAAATACATAGTATAAATTACCTGGTGCCGTTTGGTCGTTACATTGTGTATTTTTTTTATTGTTGTATCTATTAGCTGTGTTAGTGAGTTTATAAAATAATCTAGTGTTATTGTATGTAGACGAGATTAACCAAACAACATTTATCTCTGGTAAGCTATTTGGCAGTTAATCGGAAGGCTAAAATATTGTTTGAGAAAAAAATAAACAAACAAATCGACTGGATTTCGAGTCGATTGTAATAAACCGTTAATGATTTAATTCATCGGGTTCATTAGGATGAAAAATGATTAATAGTCAAATTCGAAGTTTCTTTTCTCTTCGGCAACGGAGGTGCCCTAAATTCGCTTGGAATTCTTTGAAATGATTCAAGGTTAACGAGGTATTTGGATCTGGATTTGAAACTTAAATTCGATAAACAAAGAACACATTTTTTGTATGTAAGTACCAACGTATGTACCTACATACTATTTGCAGGAATAATAACTACTTAAATAGAATTTAAAGACCGGATGCCAAATATTTAACAATCGTTTACCATTAACCAGTTTTCCCTTAAACAGTTATTAATAGAAAACAATTTTACATCCGAATCGTTCCGAAACGCCAGTTTTAATGGTATACATGGTAGAATAAAATTGTCTGCATAACTAATTTCTTTAATTTCTTTTGTGAAAATAAACTCGAATCTTGAGCAACACCATTACTAATTCAACTTTCACGGGCCATTTCCCTTGCATCTCATTAAAAAAAAGCAGAAAAAGAATAAAATGTGATAATTGGCCATGCTTAGGGAGTTACGACTCGAAATTAGCTCGAGTTTCGTACACTGGAAAAATTTTCACCGTCGAAAGTGATTCGTGTCGCATTGTATATCGAACTTATCAGGCAAGACAGATGTTCCGGTATTTTTCGCAGTGTAATCGTCGAATAGCATCGGATATACGCGTATACATGTGGTGTTAGGAAATGAATCCATTCATTTCTAGACCACATGTTCCTAATTACACCCCACATTTAATTTATCTTCACATCAAGGCTGTGTCGTTCCACGAAAATTCCGTGTTTTATTAATAACACGATTTTCAGATACTTGACGTTTCGCATCAGTCATGATTTTTTTTACCTTTCGCTTAATCGTGCGCCCGAACAAATAGCCGGCATTGCGAACTAATCACGATTAAATTATATCCGAAAAGATTATTTTTGTTTTGTTAATTAGTTTGAAATTCTATCGCGTATCGGTCCCCTCCTATTTGCAGATGCCGTTGTTTAGGTCTGTATTGGATCCGATAGAAAGGGGTGCAGACGCAACCCTTAGGTCCTTTTCAGATTTCGTGGAAAAACATTTTAAGATGACTAATAAAACCGCGGAAATCCCGAGGGATCACAGATCCCAATACAGTCCCGGCGTTGCAAAAATTTTAACAGATGCTCTATTAGATTTTTATTGAATCGATTAATTGTCACGAAATATAATGGTTCGCGGTATATTTTTTTATTCTATGCGAGTAAACTTGTGGTACGATTTTGAGTAAAAAATTCATTTAACATGGAAATTTTCTCAAGTCCTTGAATGAATGATTGAAATGTTTAGTACAAATTACAGATATTTGAATTGATCAGAAAAACGTGACCAATGAATTATTGATTGCTAAATAATTAACGAACATCTATTTATCTATCCCTTGAAATTTCTGTTTATTTAATAATTGATTTTAATTTAATATTTCATGTTCTAGACGCGGTTCTGTCTTCATTACGTTATTGTTTGCCTAATAAAATTGAGTTTCTGGTTTGGAAAATCAGATTCGTCTTTATTGCCGAGGGTTTGTCTCTCTGCTTCCATATTTTCATGCGTTTTTATTAATTTCGCCCTAACGCAAAAATTCTAATAATAAATGCCGAACATGCTCGACACTTCATCGAAGTATATTATTTTTGTAAATTACATTTTTTTGTCCCAGTAACGAAAATAATTTCTATCGAAAAAATGAGTTAATAAGAATCGTTTTCGCGAGAAAAAAATGCGAAATTTTCGTTTAATTAAAATTTTTGAATTCCCTTTCGCTTTATGAAATTAAATTATTAACGGTAACAAAGGAATTCGTTTTAGCTCGATTTAGAAAAAAAAAAAATAACCGTTTCCAGTTTCTTGGTAATTTTCGCTACTTGCAGAAAAGGACTATCACTGAAACGATTCAATCATTTCCTGTACGTACTCACATACCTCTGGCGATAATATATTCGTACTAGACTTTCGTTCTTTCCCTCTCCGCCTTCGATTCTCGCATCAGGATTGGTCGCGGAACGGGAAAATAGCGAAGATTTTCGCATCTTGTATAATGATGCCAAGACGACGACAACTCATTATCCCACAGGATATTCGCATTACGTCGAAATGAAAAAGATCAAAAATGACATACCTACTACGGATGATTGTACGCACAAAAATCCATTCTACTTTTAGACTTTTCATATACCTACCTATACATACGTGTACTACATATTTTCGAGAAGCGAGCAGTAAATAATCCACTCGATAAGCTCAGTTCGAGGACTCTCTATTTATCCATTTACGAGCGATTCCGCGTCTGCAATAATTCATTGTTGATTAGAAAATTACACGTCCTTCAGCTACCTACGTTAATTAATATTTCATAGTAATGCATATAAACATTGGGAAATGCGAACTCCCTTTGTTCCGAGCACTGAAGATCCTTTTGTCTGATTTACCATTTGTCTTGAAGATTTTTATGTAACCTCCCAAATGTTTTGTTTCTAGCAAATAAAATTCGTACAATGAAGTCGACTGGAGAATCGAAAATTTGAATATTTTAAAGCGGATATTTTTTATTTCAGGGTGACCAGGGTGCCATGGCCTGGCATGGGAAGTTTCGGCCCGGCTTGCTTCTTCTTCTCTTCTCGTTCGTTGTTATATCGGAGGCAACGGCAAAGGCGCTCGGTAAGTCCCTTTTAAATTGTTTATTAATAATATTATCTTTGTACCACTGATCAATTATTCAGCGATGCGCTTACTTTGATTTCCATTCGGGGCACCGGCGTATCAATCAAAGCACTATTTACCTATAAATTATATTCGTTCCATCACTGAAAAAGATCGTTTGTTAAAATGAAATCCGAGATTGTGTGTGTTGTTATACCTACCACTGCACAAATATAGGTATAGTGTAGGAGCTCTCTTTGGGGTAATTAAGTGTGTTTATTTTTTAAGTGTGGTAATTTTTTTTATTAAATTACTTGGTAAAGTATTTGATTATGGGCTATGGGTTGTGCAATAGCTGACTCTGTTATCAAAACGGCCGGAATTTATCTTCATAGTTGAATAAGTACCAGAAAAGGAGAGTACACGTCAAAATAAATGGTTTTCCCCTGTTTATATTTCATTCCGTTTATTTATAGGGTATTAAGTAGACGGGAGCCATGTGTCTTGTCTCAAAACGCGTATTTGCTTCCTCAGATTGCACATGTTAGGGAAACAGATAATGATTTCTGGTCTGGAAGTAGTTGAAAACGGCAGTTGACAAAACTGAACATATAGATAACGTTTAGAAAATATGGTCTCAATCTTTCGACGATCTCGGCGGTCGGTTTCCCCTTGTTTCTAAAATCTTCCGGCTTTTCATCTGAAATTCAGATTTTTATTTTCCATAAAAAAAATTAATTAAGCCGATTTTATCGTCTCGATTCATATTTTGGATTTTCCGGCATAGGTTCTTCTCACTGGAATTCCACAATAAATCTCGAAGATTAATTCGTTTCATAATAGAGGTACGAGTCGAGACAAGTCATTTCGGTTATTTCCTTTCGCTGCTAAACTAAACGTAGATTTTCGTTTTGCGAGAATATGTAAATAACAAGAAGAGATGGGTCTGAACAAGTGGCGTTTCAGTGCGAACAAATACCTTCTGTTCCATTTCTGAAACTTACACGTATTTCGCATTAGACAACGTACATATAATTAGTTCAGTTGCTCGATTAGGATTAGAATTAGGATTTTTTTCAAAACGATAAATTCATTACTGTTTGCCCTTTACGGGGTATTATGCAAACTATTGAAAATTGCCTAAAATGCAGAAAAATAATTTGTTGTTTTTTGGACCGTGTATATTTTTCCATCGGTTTCGCGGGATTTTAGCGGATATTCAAAATTTTTACGATACGTTTTCCAATATTTCTAAAAATAACTTTTTATTTTGCCATAAAATTGCCGTTGGAAAAAATGTGATTAAATAACTCTAACCACGCACTCTTTCAAGAAGTTATACGACATGCCATTAGTAAAATCGCCATTTTACATGTTCCCTACAAATGAGCAGAGAAAAAAATACTAATTTTAGACATATTACAACCCGTACAATAAAACGTATTATAGTGAATATAAATCACTTGCTGGTTTTTTCGTTTTCGAGGTGCGTATACTTTTAACGATACACCCAAACAATAATAGTTTGCTCTATATATTCCCGAACGCAGGAATTTTCGATTAGACCCCGAATTCAGCACGAAACTGACAGCTCAATGTAATCGTTTCTGTTGCTAATAACACTTTTCAAATTCATCAATATTGTCCCTCGATGAGCCAAACCAATTTCAAACATCTAATTACAAAACTTTTTCATGATAACGTGCAATGATAAATAATGCCGGTTATTGCGAAGTGTGTGATTATTATTTCGCTTAATAAACCTTAATTAATAGTGTGAGTCGCTTCTAATTCTTGACAGGGGCCCTATAGGCGTTTTCAAACACAGTTGATAGGATGTCTCTTTCAGACAAATATAAATTAGCCTGATGAGTTCTTACTCAATAGAGCTGATATGAGCTAATCAGGGGAAAATAACTAAACGATCAAAAACACAAAGAACGAATTTCAGTCAATAAATTAGTACTTAGGGAAGCTGATGTTTGATGTTAAGGGTTACAATTATATGGGGTTTATATTAAAAGCTCGCGCGAGGGAGACGTAAAGTGATTATATTAATAGGGAGTTTTTATTTTACGTTTTTTTTTCTTCCTGTAAATGTTAGTTATAAAGTTCGTTTAAATACACATTGCTTTACAGGCTTTGAATTAAATTTTATGTGAGAGGAAAGAATGAATACAGATGACTTTACTAATTAAGAGCGTTTTCTATTAGAGTACGTTGACATTAATTTTTGAAACAAAGCCTCCGTTGGAACGAATTAAAGTTATGTTAGTTTTAAAATCGCTCTATTGTTGAAAGTGCTTTAAATTAGAAATTCGTCATTATTTAAATAATAAAGGATTCAATGTACGTATAGGAAAAAATCAACTTATATGGCCCATACGTGCACATCCTGTAGAGTATCGTGAATGAATATAAAATATTATTTTTTACTATAAATTTACTATCAAGGTGGATTTGATTTAATAGTTGAATGTGATTAAAATCCACATCCGGAAAATATTGATTTGTATATAAAACGAACTGGCAGTTACAGGAAACGCTAATTTATTTTCTTTGTGCATTTATTTTTTTATCTTAATTGATTGGTCTGTTGTTCTTTTTTTTTTGTTTTTTGTTTTCTTTGAAGGGTAAGATAACTGGCTTTTTTGGCAGTTAAAGAACGTCTTAATTATATTTATTTCATATCTATAATTGGCATTGTTATTTTTTCGTCTTCGTTGGACAAACGATTGCTCGCTTTTCATTTCAATAGAGGCATTTTAGTTGGTAATACACCCTATATACTTGTAGTCGATAAACTCGTAACATAACATTTTCTAATTGAGAAAATTCTCGTTAGCTCGGGAAGCTGAAGCATAAAGCATTCTTAATTCTCAATCATGTTCCCCTAACTACTTCGGCGTTACTGCATGCCGATTTAAACGCACTTATCCTAACTCATTTGCCCATTCGCTAATCATTAATTTCGATTCCCTAAGAAGTTTTGCTAGTTTAGTAACTCTAATGCGATTAGAAGACGTTCTGTTGAAAAATTTGTTGTTCACTCCCCGCAGAAACGCTCGTATAATCTATCACAATTGAAAATACTAGATCATATTCATTCGAATGAGCGTTGTGTACTAATTGAATTTTAAATTTCCAAGTCTACAAGGTTGAAATTAAATTTGTAATTACACAGTTGCTTTTTGTTGTTTCAGAGATAATAATGTATAACTCATATTTCGAACGTATTTTTTTGTGTGATAACACAATATTGATTTTAGAAGTTCGGTATGATCAGAACACAAAATTGGTCGTAATTGACTTTATATCTACTCCGTTTATGTAACAGAACGGTTTTCTCTAATAAATTCCATCGAATAATAAAATCTTGACCAAATACGGATCTGTTGGTGTGTTGGTAAACCGCAATAAATTATTATTTCGGATATAATATACTTAATTATCTAGACGATCAATATAACGTTAATTGTAGAGATCAAATGAATTATTTCGTAACGAACTATTTATGATTAATATTGCGATAAATATCTATAAAAATGTATTTAAATCAATCGGGAAGGAAAGTTAACAATACAAAAAAATCCTCTGATATTATCCCTTCTTTTTGTAGGAATACTAAGAACATTTTTATAAACTTGACCATTTTAAGCAAATTCTTCTAGTTTATTTCCTGACGTATAAACACGTTGTTTTTCAATTAGGAAAATAATAATGGAATGTCGGAAAGGGTTAATCCGCTAAGCAAAAATTCGGTCAATTTAATATAAAAGCTCGCTCAAATTCATGGATTAATTTCAATCGCCTCTACACCGGTTCATCGCTTATACGGGGTTGATCTATTGTGGCCCGCCGATATTAATTAAAATTCGCTTCGAATTTCCAATGAATCGAGTTTTTTCAATCGCCGAAAGCAGACTAAAGCAGACACACTAATAGTCTGCTTGTAAATAATATTTTTATATTTAACAAATTTTTGTGACCTGTTTCTCTATATTAAAGTCTCGAGAGAAAAACCTCGAAAATTTTGCAAGAATTTACCCATAGTGGCATGTCAACGAAAACAGAAATTATTGTTTTTATTGAAACAAGCGACAATTAAGTTAGATCGACGAATCCGTTGTGGAGTTTCGGGCGCCCTGTCAATTTGATTATTCGAAATGAGCGTTTCGGTAAAATTGAAAACAATTCGGTAAATGTATCGGTTATTTATCGTCGAGGTTACACAGCAAACGAGAAGAATAAACCGAGTCCATCCCCGTATAGATTTCGCATTAATTTCAGTCAATATTTTGCATTGTAAACAGAGATGGGCTGGCCGGTTTGTAGAAATAACGCGGAACTGCGAACGCTTTCGAAATAAACGAATCGAATAATTCGACCTTCGTGCAGTTGGTTTAGAAGGATATCCTTTTGGTAAGAGGATGGGATGAGTTAAAGATTAGAAATGCAGTTTTATTGACCTAGTCCATCACTGGTTAAAGAACAATTTACAGCCAATGAGTCGCTCCTCGTCTGAGGAAACCGTGTTAAAAATTCATGAATTTTACAAAGTTTTACACTCTTTTTCCAAGCAAGGACGGAGGAAAATACTGTCAGCATCTATCAAATAACTTTTTACCGGTTATGAAAAATGCGCCTTCGCCCAAAACCAGTTTGTTCATTAATGCTTTATCCGCAAGGGGTTATCGGCTAAATGTCAGGGAATTTTTTAAAGCGTTGCCAATTTATTGTGGAAAATTCTGCATTATCTAGTTTGCACCGCCACCAAGGAAATCTATTCACTTCGGGAGATTTTTTACCATCGGCCTTTAAAGTAATATATTGCCCTGTATCACGAATCTTTATTCTACATCTACAACCTCCTAGTATTTATTGTTATAGTAGTGTTTAATTTACGCCCGTACGTCGCTTTTATTATCGATTTTTTTTCATCTCCGAATGGATAATTTTACTAAAATTTACTAGTTCATTGGGAAGCAGATTACCTATTGCACATGCTCTTATAATAA